GTGGAAGACATCCTGCACTTTGTACGTCAACTCAGCCGTTAGAAACAGCTCACAATGGTTTGTAATGAAACACATGTTTACTGCATTCTTCTTAAGTCTGTAGAAAATGCTGGTATTCAGAGTTTTTCCTAGAACAGACTCTTTCTTTGTGCTAAGAGCAATTCACTTTACTAGTCATAGGTATGCTTTCTAGTAGTGATTTTGTGATACTTGCTAATGGTGGCTTTTGCGGTATTTGTGGTAATCTGAAATAAAATAGATGAATTCAGAGGATAATGCCTCCGTGTCCTTGTGTATTACAGAATCCTATGAAGCCACTGTCACGATCTCTACACACCCGCAGGCCAAGTAACCTTTTAGGTTGTGACAACTGCTTGTTAAAACTATTCTCATATTTCATACCACAGACATGGATGGAATCAAAGATAAAAATAACAGATGATGACCATACAGCATGTTAACGGATGAAGTACACACAAAGTACAGGTGTTCAAGGAGGCAGGGTGAAGTGGCACATTCTACGCTGCTCTGGCCCGATTGGAGGACTGGCGCACACGCTTCCGCTGGGGCTGACTACTGCTGAACAGCTGAGAACAGCTCTGATGTCCCCTCTACGCACAGGCACATCATCGGTCCTGCTGACACCAAGCTGCCTGGCACCTGGGACATCCTCAAGAATTACAACCATAAAAATGATGGGTGATATTTTTTTTTTAATAGCTACTTTTACTTACAAAGCAAGGATTTAGGATACGTTTCCTTGTGCCATACTTTTGTCCAAAACGAAGAAGATATGATTACATGAATGCGCTGAGACCACACATTCCCCTAATTTCACCTCTCAGAATTACACAAACATGGCCTGACTCACACAGAAGCTCTGAGAACTAGTTACACTGTAAAAACAATTTGCACCATAAATCCTTATTACTACCTATGGCAGTAACCGTTCATAAACCTATGCCAGGGCGTTTAGAAGCCATCAATACCCTTCTCTACTTTAATCACCAGAAACACAGCATTGATGGGAAACTCCATGGAAACTTCCTTCCACAGTACATCAGACAAAGAATGGGCAAAAAATAGCCTTTTATAAAACATTAATGGATTTTGTTTGTTAATAAAAAGCAACTTCTGCCAGAGGCATTTAAATAACGATGATGCAGAAATTGAGATGAATACTTTGGTAAGTCATACTGTCAGCTTAATGCCTATAATCAAAAACAATAAACTGAACTAGGATGTTGCTATATCAGTTTATTTTTTTTACCCCATTAAATATTGATAAGAACTTATATTCCTTACCTATGCCAGCAGCAAATCATTTTATGAATGCAAATTAAATTTTAATTTTTATTCTTTGTGAACATAAGTTTTAAGCCTGTGCTTTACATTACACCTATACAAGACCTTCAACAAATCTGTGAGATGTTAATGAAAGCATAATAATGTATGCGTGCCTACCTTTTTCAGGAACCGTACTCCATAGGTAAATATATAAAGGTAAAATGTAAATCTCCACCTGCAAAAGGTACAAGAGATTAACTCTTGGATATCAGTTTACATACTTCACAGTTCAACACATGATTTCTTAAACTACTGCCAAACCACCACATCCTGATCACATTAACAGAAGTTGAAGACGAATTTTGTCTGGTTTTCGACAAGTTTTTTTAGCAAGCATTGTGCTCATGTGCCTGCTTTTCCCAGCCTCCCACTAGCCCTCTGAAACTACTGGCTAATTTCACCTCAACATGACAGGGAAAAACAAATTTTGAAGGACAATTAAGTTTTTTAAAGTTTCATGAAAACTAGCAGGACAGGGGAGGACAGATGACAATTTGCACGCCTACTGCAGGGAAATTCACTTGTTATTAGACACCAGGACAATGACAATAAGAAATTTTATTAAGCATTCAACAGGTGACTACAACATTAGAGTGCTGCACATCAAATACAGTCTGTAGTAATGAAAAGCATCATCCACAAGGAGCTGGAAATTCACTTGGTAGATTCCAGCACTTCACTCTTGGTTTTAGGGAGTGCATTTGTGTTGGGCAGATATGCTGGATACAGACACATATCCACAACTTCCATCCGCATCCAAAGAGTTTCCTTGATAAAGATGATTCTACATTTTCCCAAGTACACATGAAATAATTGCTGGGCTTCTAGTTTTTATTTTCAGGTAGAGGCAAACTAGAAGCTAGGATCAAGATGCCACGGAAAATAAGAGAGAAACCAGCCGGAGATTTAATATGAAATCTTCCTGTCTACATCTTTCTCCCTTCCCCAAAGATGACACACAAAGTGTCTTCCTATCTTTTGGACCCGTTACTGGCTTAGGGAAGAAGAGTCAATGGAAGTACAAAGAAATAAAAATCAAAACCTCATGCAGTGTAAATTCCTAGAGGAATTCCTGTTTTTTTTCCAGTAGTGACTACACAAACATGCTTGACATAAACACCAGTGAGGTACTATTCATAACATTTATAGCAGGGTAAGATTTAGCTCATTTGGTGTGAAGCAATACTGTAGTGTGAATAATTTTCCATTACGTATTTTACAGCACTTACAACTTTCTCTCCCTTGGCAAACCTATTAGCTTATGGTCAATTGGCATTGAAATGTGTTCAGACATTAGTGTAACTGTTTCAAAACTGAAAATGCTCCCACATAAAGGAAGCTTAATCCAAACCTTCCTCTTCAAAGTTACAAGTATTTCTGTATGACACAACTTCTGACAAGTTGAGTACAGGTGAGTGTAAGAACATCAACGAGATTTAAAGTGTGACACTTGAATGGAAACTCTCTCTTAACCTGTAGCCTTCACAGCACTGCAGAGATTAATTTATTCGATTGCTATGACACAAATACCAATCCCTTCAAGGGTTCAGTCACGCTAGAAACATGGCTTTCAGCTTTCATGCTGGCAGTTTCCTCAAGATAATGCAACAAGAGAGTACTTGGAGGCAAAAGGTTAGTTCTGCTGGTAGAAACCTTCAGATCATGTGCATGGAAGAAGGAGCAAGGACAGCAGTATGAAGGAAGGTTTTATTTGGGTAACAATTTTCTCATTCGGCTGGTCCTACAGCTAGGAAACATGCCATTTAACTTCAAGGTTACATACCTCCTCCAGTGAAAGTTTGAAGGCTGTCACTGAAAATAAAAATATTACGAGGGAAAAACTAGCTTAAACTAATCTCACTGCTGAGCACCCCCAGTGCCCTTCTTCCACTCCTAAATCTGAGCAATTATGATAAATTCCTCACAAAGAGATCTCTTGTTTTAAAAATCCCCCCAATATCACCTTCATTTCACATTTCTCCAAGCAAAATTCGTAACATATTTGAGGACTTTTGTAGCTTGCTTTTGGGAGCTGTAATATTTCATAGAGGAGTTCAAAGGCAGTCTAAAGTATTTGAAATATGTTAATGGTTAAGTTTTAGATGGTGGGGCTTGGGGGTTTTCCCATCTGCATGGATGTCTGAAAGATTCCGGTTGCTGCATTTGCTGCAGCTGTCTCCTCAGAGGAAATAAAATGGTCCTTTCCCAAAACAAGCAAATGCAGAAACACCGATTCCCCAGCCTAACTTTCCACCCACTCTCCAAAGTACTGCCACCACCACAGATCTGCACTAAACCCGTGGACTGCCCTGTGGAAGAACTCCTGGAGCTTCAGAAAGACCTCAGAGCCAAAAGCCACCAGGTACTATTTGGGTCTGCCAAATACAATCAATTACCTCCAACTGTTCGAATGCTACAAAGGGGACACACGCACACAAGTATATGATGATAAATGCTATCGATCGTCTTTCCTCTTTTTCCCTAACCTGCCAAACAAGCCTACTAGGATTGAGCATCAGAAGATAGAGCAGGGCTCAGAACTGGGTGCTAGACGAGGCTGGTCAAAGTGATAACTTCTTAAAAAATGAGTAATATTGGCAGAAAAAATTGCTCATTCTTGCTACACAACATCCAGAAAAGCTATTCAACAAACTTCTGGCTTGGTCAAACTGCACTAAAGAAAAATCAGAACAAAACAAAGTCAGAACTGGCCCCCAGCATGTTTATCATCATCAATCAGCTAACTCTGGTGGCAACATAGCTACAAATAACTTTTCACTGCTCTGTATCAGGCAGCTAGCCGCCTTTTCCGTGGACTTCAAAGGGAAATTCTGCTGGCTTAATAAACCAAACTGGCATCTCAATCCCATACCAAGAAGTCCAAAGAGTTTCCTACATTGTTTTACCACTACTTGTAGACTGTTTATTGCTGCAATTAACATCCACTGGCCAAGGTCAAATAGGTGAACACAAGAAGGTCTGGAAGAAAATGACTTTTAAGTTATTAAAGTATTTATTATTATATGGTAACTGAATATATCTGGTCTAAGTAACTATGTTCAGCATTTTCATAGAATCATAGAATCATTAAGGTTGGAAAAGACCTCTAAGATCATAAAGTCCAACTATCAACCCAACACCACCATGTCTACTTAACCACGTCCTGAAGTGCCACATCCACACGTTTTTTGAACGCCTCCAGGGACGGTGACTCCACCACTTCCCTGGACAGCCTGTTCCAATGCCTGACCACTCTTTCAGTAACGAAATTTTTCCCAATATCCAATCTAAACCTCCCCTGATGCAACTTGAGGCCATTTTAGTAAATGTCGCACATTAACTGCTAACACCAATCACCTTAACAATGGGAGATATTTCATTTGTAACTGTCTTTAAATAAAATTTAAAAAGGTAAAATAGGTACCTAGAGGCTTGTTGCCTACAAATTAACATATATCTTTTTAAATAAAATAAAAAAGGTAAAATAGGTACCTAGATGCTTGTTGCCTACAAATTAACATATATTGAGATCTATAAAATCTACATTAAACTAAATCAACTGTTAAGACCATTTACAGAATGAGCGATTTTTATGAGGCATTGCGGTCAGAAGAAATATACATAGAACAAATGGTCAAAATTAAGGGATGTTGTTTCCATCAGCTTTAGCTGTAGAGTAAAAAAAAGGCAAGGAGTCTACCTGTAGCTGTCAGCTATGTGCTATCAGAAATTTAATGGTAGATACACCAATAATCTTTTGCACAAGGTCACACATAGATCACTACGCCTCTGAACACACCAGGAATTGAACTAGCACTCAGCTCTCTGCTCGGTTTCCTACCTTGCTGCAGGAACCCAGTAACCTAAAACCCCATGGATGCTTTATTGGCATTTGAGCGGTCCTCACTTTCCCTCAGCCCTTCTACTCAGTAGCCTAGCAGTAAGAGTACTGGCCAGGCTTTGGAAAACCTGGGTTCAATTTCCTCCTCTGTCACATCTCTCACTCACTCCTTAAGGGCTTGTTACCCACAAAGCTGTCATACATAGGACCATCTCTTGTGAAGCTGTTTTACGTAGCAGAAAATAGTCCATCACTTGGGAGGAAGGATAGGGAGGAAAGGGACAGAAAATAGGTTGTGAAGCTACATTATTCACTCAAAATCCATTGAAATCCATCATTTGCAATCTACAGTAGATAGATCTGTCCCTCCATTTGGTCTCACTGCAGCCAGCTGAGAATGCAAGTGGAGGGAAAAATTTACAAAAAGGAATCACATCCACTCACAGTAGAGCCTAGTCTCCAAACCCCCTCAGAATTTTGGGAACTTAGGCAAAAGGTTCTTTCTCTTTGGACAGGACATCACAGAAGAGAAAGACATCTCTCTTGAGTGTGAGGTTATCAAGTCTCATTCCCAACTGAATCCACAAAGTGGCAGTTGATTAAGAGAGGTCTTTAATTTGCCCTAGATAATAGTCCCAGCTCTCATGGTTGGAAAAAGCCCTTAAGCCTGAGTACAGTCTGAACAGTCACAGACCCCAGCAAAGGGAAGATGTCTAGCCAGTGGCATACACCGTCTTTAGTATCCTTTCTGATACCCTGCTTAAGGTCCTTCTTAAGCATCAGCAGCTCATGCCGAATGTCCCCAGGTCACTGGGGGTGACAGCTGGTTGTCTGCAACAGGGAAAGTAACAAACTCTTCTACAGCAGCAGTAGCAGAGCCTAACCAACTAGCAAAAGCAAGGCAAGATCTGTACTAAGGTATCTTTTGTTCCCCCTTCCCCCCAGCAATACTCACTGCCCTATTAAAGCAATACAACGCAGGCCACTAAGTGAAGCACCCTATGGTGGGTGACCGTCACATCAATTCACATTGAGCTGAAAGATGATGACAGCTGAAGCTGCTCTGTTTTCTGAGAATTTCCTCTGGCCCTCAGACCTGAAACACTCCTCCAGTCAGTTGTACAGAGACACAAAATATGACTGACCCCCATACATACAAAGTGTGCTGCTTGAAAGACTTCTTAGGTTAATTCAAATCCAGATGAAAGCACTCAAGGAACAAGCGTTCTGATAGACTTAATCTGTCTGCTCGGAACAGGGCTTATGAGGTTCACTTTAGTCCTGCACTAACATGCCTACATGACTACAAGACTGAACCAGGCTTGCACCTGGTC